CCTCTCCTCTCCTCTCCTCTCCTCTCCTCTCCTCTCCTTTCCTTTCCCTTCCCTTCCCTTCCAGTATTTGGCTTACATTTAAAGTAAAATCTATGAACCAAGAGCATATAGTTCTGTTATATGAACTGTTTTTGCAGTCAACCAGTCAGGTGCTAGAAAAGAGAGCTACAAAGGAACTCGATTCCACAGTTTTCCTATGTTGGGCAGGTGGTTATCTCAACTCTTCTTTCATCCATCCAGTGATGGGATGCTGCTGGTTCAGACTGGTTCAGGCAAACCCAGGTGGCCAGAAAGGCCCAACAGAGACTCCATTTCCTTAGGATCTTGCGGAAGAATAAAGTGGAACAATGACCGATGACCTCCTTTTACTGGTCCACAATAGAAAGTATCCTCACATATTGGATTATGGTGTGATATGCTGGCTTGACAGCTGCGGATAGAAAGACATTACAGAGGGGTGGTGAGCACAGCACAAAACATCATGGGTTGTTCCCTGATACCACTAGATGACCTCTCTAGGGCTCACTACCTTAGAAGAATAAAAAATATCCTCAGGGACGACTCACACCCTGGTCAGCACTTCTTTACTCTCCTACCATCGGGTAGGAGATAGAGAAGCATAGCCAGTCACACCAACAGGCTGAAGAACAGTTTCTACCACGGACTGTCAGACTTCTGAACGGAAAATAACTTCATGTCAACATAGTATGATAGACTTGTGGGTGTTCTGACCGAAACCCTTTTCCAACAACACAAACATGAACCAAAGGGAACAGAAACCTTTTAATGGTTCTTACGAATCCCCAGTTAAAAGGCTGCTGCAAACTAATTAACTTTAATAAGCACAAACCTCGCCAAAACTTTGCGAGACTGCCAAGAATAACAGATAAGAAATATTTCCCAAGAGTCTTCAAATACCAACTTAAGATACTGCAATGTCCACGAGGCTGAGTTTCAAAACGTCTTTGCTTCCTGCAATGAACGTTCTCTTCACAGCTGGCATTTATCTTCTTGAAGGAGGGGCCATTACCTTGCAGCTTTACTCCTGAGTCACCTGTGCTATTGCAGCTGCTCTTTCCTGTGAGCAAGTGCACGTGCACTTGGCACAGGCTCCTCAGGAACCTCCTCATCGCTGCTGCCAGCCCCCACAATCTCTGAAGGCAGCAGTCCACTCCCTAAGGGTCCTGGCCCCTCATCTGAGTCCTTGCTCTCCTCAGCTGTCCACACCTGCTGGCAACTAACCACAACAGTGGGGCTGGCACGTTGTGCAACAAGGTCACCTAGTGTAAT